TCACTATCCCCGGGGCAGGGGTCAGAAGGAGACGCCAGCCTCTGCTCTGCGGTGCCCGGTGACAGGACAAGGGGCAATGACCACAAACAGGAACAGGGGCGTTCAGCCGCAGCATGAGGCAAAGCCGAGCACGGGGCTGCCCCGAGAGGGGGTGGAGCCTCCTCTGGGGACGCTCAAACCCACCCGGATGCTGTCCTGTGTGGCTGCAGGTGACCCTGCTTTGGTGGTGTCTGGACCGACGACATCCAGAGAACCCTGCCAGCCCCAACCGTGCTGTGTTGACGTGTGACCCCAGCCCCCCAGGTAGGCACATGCCCCCATGTTGCTGCACACAGACAGACAGACGGACAGAGCCTGCAGCTGGGTACAGGGTGGTTTTATTCCCCCACTCCCCGCCTCAGCCGGCCGCCACCGTCTCCTTGACCCAGTCCAGGACGCGCCGCACATCCACGTAGACGCCGTACTTGGAGGATGTGCAGGTCTTGTCGAAGCTGAGGATGCCAGCTGCGTACCAGGTGTCGTCATCAGGGTCCTGGACAGTGAAGGCACCACCAGCATCACCGTAGCACGTGTCCTCCCGCAGCTCACTCATGCCCGCACAGAAGGTGTCGTTGCTGAGGATGGGCTGGACCCAGTGAGACGCGTTGCGCGCCTCATAGTACTGCCTGCAGCTCTCGCTCTCCGCCACTGGCAGCATCACGTACTTCAGCATCTCGGAAAAGGCAAAGGTGGCGCCACGGCCCCAGCCCGAGACATAACCCACCCGCCCTGGGCGCACATAGTCCTTCTGGGGCAGGCAGATGGGCATCACCTCGTCTCCGAGGGGCACCTTCTCCTTGAGCTTCAGCAGGGCCAGATCCACAGCCCCTGGGTAGCCAGGGTGCAGCACCACACGCTCAATGGCCAAGGCTGGCTGCCCCCGGCCTCCCAGGAAGAGCTGCAGCGTGGAGGCGATCTCCTCAGGCTGGGCATCCTCACTGTGGCCCAGGTAGACATTTCTGCCCGTGGTCAGCAGCCACTGGTCACTGATGAGCGTGGCCCCCGCGGTGAGGTTGTGGTGGGGCACCAACCGGCCCTGCCACGGGAAGTTGCCCTTCCCTGCC